GACTGAAAGCCTCCAGAGACTGACAGAAAAGCTACGTAGACAAGAGAATGAAAGCTTTGGAATTCCAGGTAGGTGAACGTATTCTTTTAAGGGTATCACCCTGGAAAAGCTCGATACGCTTCAAAAAGTGTGGGAAGCTAAATTGAAGATATGTAAGGCCTTTCGAGATTATTGCTAGAAACGACCCTATAGCTTCCAAACTAAAACTATCTCGCAAACTTAGTAACGTGCATCCTACTTTCCACGTATAGAACTTGAAAAAGTTTCTATTCAATGAGACTCTTGTAATCACACTCAACGACATCGAGATTGAAGAGAGCCTCAACATCATGGAAGAACCCATAGAGATCATCGACCGAGAGGTCAAGCAAATGAAGCAAAGCCGTATCCCAATAGTGAAGATTCGCTGGAATGCCAAGCGAGGACCTGAATTCACTTGGGAACGCGAGGATCAGATGAAATGGGGGGGATGATATGACAACCCGAAATTTCGATCATGTACAATCCATTCAATTCAATCAAATTCAGACTCATTTCTGCCGTCTTTTAGTATTGTTTAGAGTCTGTTTGAGCGTTCTAAGCTCAGTAAAATCAAGATTAGGGTTTAGGGATGAGTTATCTCAAGTCATAGGGTGCCATTCGGTTCAAACACTCCTTCAAAAGGAGTGTACGGCCATACACATCGGTGTATGGTCGTACACCCCTCTTGCCATCAATTCATGCTCATATATAACTTTTCCATTCTATTTCCTTCACTTTTCATACATTCAAGCCAAGAAAACTTGATGTTATCTCAACTATCATCAAATTCTTCACCTTGATCTTCAAAGAAGTAACTATTCCTTCCATTTGATTAGTTGATTTATTGCATTAGCTAACGAAGATCCATGTTTCATCCATGAAATGTATCTTTTTGGCTAGATCTTCCATAATCTCATCTTTCACCAAGAACACCAAGAACACATACTAGTTCTTAGTGGCCGTGAACCTCATAAGGACCCTTAAAAGTGTATGTATCCCTTCTATCTTCTAGTTAGGATTAAGAAACTCTCCATTTCTAGCCTTAGATCATCATCAAATGCATGAACACCAAGAGTGTACAACCGTACACTCATTATATGGCCGTAAACCCTTGTGTAGTGCATGTTTAGGCCTCAAACACACCCTATGTACCAACATAGGACCTTTAACACTAAGTGGATGCTAGTTAGAGCCATGAAACACTGTGTTTGGTGAAGATACCCATGGGTGTACGATCGTACACTCCATGGCCATACACACCATGACCATATACCACAAAGGTCGTACACATATTGTCTGTACACACCTTAGTGTGACTGCGAACCTCCCTTATTCAATCATATGTGATTTTAACACTTCGTTTCACGTGTTTCCAAGTCCGTAGGGTGGTTCCCTGTCATAAGTAGTTGTGTTACACACTAATTTGATACATATATGTGTTATTATATGCTAAATAGGATACGTTTGTGTTCGAGAATTCTATTAACACTTAGCATCCTGCACTTGATCTTGTATTCTAATCACTCAATATAGGTGATTTCATACCCCGGCAATCAACCTTTAACTGTTTAAATGCTTTTAGGGGGGGGGGGGATACAAGTTGAACACAATTAAATTGTGTTAGTATAAACATTTATATACTGATCAAATATCTCATTTCAAATTCATTTTCAAACTACTTTTAAAACATCCTTATACTTTATTGTAAACTCTTTTATGTTTATAACTACTTTTAAACTCTCTTTCAAACTCTTTTACTTTCAAAAAAATATTCATTTGTGTATTAGTGTATAACTATGTTTTAATGGACTTTGGACTATTGCTTATAACCTTAACTCATGTTCGTTATTTGGTTGTGGGCTTAGGGCAGGATACACTAGTCTGACTGTCGATTAACTCATGGTTATACATGCGAAATGCATATATGAATAAAACAAATTATCTTTAAAAGGTATACTTAAATCAATTGTTCAAGCTGAACAATTGACTCCCTTCTATAAGTCGAGAACAAACTAAACCTTCTAGTAGACTATAATAGGTATAGTTTAGAGAACATATACAAAGAACAGAAGAGAACATATACATATACATATACAAGAATAGGAAAGAACATATACATATACATATACAAGAAAAGGAAAGAACATATACACATACATATATCTATACAAGTACAAAAATAACATGATAATTAGAATGTGAAATTACCACTTAATGATACAACAACACATTGTTGTATCACATTGTAACCATAGTCTCGTGTAGGGAGGGTGGGCATTGTGTGTAAAGATCTATACGGGATAGATACTCCCACACCCCAACTGCTAGCTACAGTTCCAGCCAGAGCACTACGCAATGAAGGTATGAGATCATCACTTCGATGATCACTACCAAAATGGGTAATCGAGAGTCCCTTACTGATCATCTTCAAAAATGCAAAGTTATGTCAATCGCTTTCTAAAGTTTAATGTTAACTTTCATTAAGAGCTGGAAATTGACATTATCCTTCACTCCTTGCCTCCATGGTACGACCAGTTCTTCATGACCTACAACATGAATAAGGAAGAGGTCACTTTGAGCAAGCTACAAGGCTTGCTATGCACTGCTGAGATGGAGGAATGGTTAGTTCTGTAACTGATTCCTAATATAAGTAATAACCGTAGGCATTCGTAGATGTTCATCACCCACTGTTGCTAACAGATGGGTTCCGGAATGGTTAGTCCCATACGTATATCCCGGGGTACTGTGGGATAGAGGCCCATCTAGGTGCCCGAGGTACTGGGGATAGGGTCCTGTCTAGATATCCTGAGGTACTAGGGATATGCAGGAAGATTTAAAAAGAAGGTACTAATAAATCATCCTCGCAATTCGAGATACAAGTATTCATGTTAATGTACATAATTAAGTGTATCTACGTAAAGGTACTCATGTAATGCATTCATGTACACGTATTCATGTATCATGTAGGTATATGTAAACGTACTCATGTATCATGTAATCAAATGTAAAGGTACTCATGTATCAGGTAATGTACTGGTATAGACTCATGAATGAACTGACTCTTGTGTGATTCCTTGTAATAGGAATTATATTTGATATCTCCAAATTATCCCTATGATAGTTTGCTGGAAGGTAATTGGTTGTTCAAGTACGTTTATACACTCTTACTACTCAAGGGTGTGAGAAACTAAATGAAAACTGTAACTATAACATTCGTACATATATAAGAATATAAGTGTACATGCATAGTTTAGTTCAATAATGTAAAATGGTTTTATAAGACATCTTATGGGTTTTGAACATTAATTAACAATGACTTGATGTCATTTTAATATACATTTCAAAGGTAAAACAATAGATGATAATGCGTTTTTAAGATTTAAAACCATTTCATGCATCACATTTTGTAGTATGTGAAATCTGTTAAATGAAAAACAAAGTTATAAAATACATAACAATGATTTAATAACATGTTTGTTTCTACTTGTATCCCCCCCTTTAAAGCATTTAAAATCATTTAAAACATTGATTAGGGGTATGAACTCACCTGTAGTTGGTGATTGGAATGAAATGAACGGTATCGGATTGCTAGGTGTCAAGCGAGGACTTGTGCACACACTACGATCCTAATGAACATATAATCACACATATATGCACTCAATTAGACTCAAATGACTAATTGATAATGTTTAAGACATCCTAGGCATAATAAACACTTTATATAAGTGTTTTAAGCCATAAAGATTGCATCTAAGCTTTGTGGGACAGGTATTGTGTTTAGGGTTTCCAAAGGACCTATATGAGAGTTTACTCTCATAAACCATCACACATGGAGTTTACGGTTGTAAACTCTTGAGTTTACG